CTCAACGTACAACATTCCTTTAGCAACTGTTCAAAGTTACAATACAAGTGAAAAAAGTGATTTATGACCAGTTCTCACACTTATGACCACTGATTGCAGTGGTCTCACAGTCATGTGATCAGAATTGTGGTACTTGGAAACTGGAATGTATTTATGATGGTTGCATCATCCTGGGATCAGGTGATTGCCATTTACAACTTTCTCAAATAATTTCTGGCAAGCAAGCAATGGGGGAAGCTGGATTTGCTTAATGATTATGAGATTCACTTAACAATTGCTTTGCTTAGCAACAGAAATTCTGATCCCAATTGTGGTTGTAAATCGAGGGCCACCTGTATCACATTTTAGGTTTTTTCCTGCAGTATTTATTTATTTGTATCCCACCTTTATCATTTTTACAAATAAAGCAGTGAACATATCCAATACACTTTCTTCCTCCTCCTATTTTCCCCACAACAATAACAACCCTGTGAGGTGGCTTGGCCTGAGAGAGAGTTACTGGCCCCAAATCACCCAGCCAGCGTTTATGGCTAAGGCAGGACTTGAACTCATGCTCTCCCTTTCTCTAGCCTGGTGCCTTAACCACTAGACCAAACTGGCTCCTTCCTCCCCCAATGATTTTTGTAGAGATGAAATGAAATTTAGTTTGCTGGATAAATAGCAATGAGGTAATATCTGAACAGGTAAATAAATATTTATAGGAAATATTTAGTCATCCTGTAAATTCTTCCAGGGCTGCATCAAAAAATCCTTCTATTTCAGAGTAAAATAGTTACTTACATAACAAGATTCTTATTTAAGGAACTTTTCTTTTTTGAAAGGATGTGGGTGGACAGGGGGCAGGTGAAGATGGAAAACATTTGAACATTGAATCAAGATGATTAACATGGATTGCCAAGACTGAAATGTAGGCAGCTGTTAGAGAATAACTTAGAATCAGAGCCAAAGAATCCCACATAACCACAAAATCCATTGTTTCTCAAACAGAATCCCAACCCAAGTAGGACCTCTTTCTAATCTTTTCAGGCTAGGGGCCTTATAATAATTTTAGGTAGGTGAGTTCAGTGTAGGGATTGAGAATACTTCAGTTTCTCAATCTTGGTAACTTTAAGATGTGTGGACTAGAGTTGAAGTCTTCAATCTTAAAGTTGTCAGTGTTCAGAAACAGATCTAGGGTGAGGTTCTGATGACTTGCTAAAAGGCAGCAGTACAGAACTGAAATGTAGCCATAATAAATAGACATTCTTGATTGACAGTTCTTATTATATTATATAAGCCCTATTCAAATCAGAGGTGGGTTTCAGCAGGTTTTAACCAGTTCTGGAAAACCGGTAGCGGAAATTTTGAGTAGTTCGGACAACTGGTAAATGCCACCTCTGACTGGCCCCGCCCCCATCTATTCTCTGCCTCCCGAGTCCCAGCTGATTGGGAGGAAATGGGGATTTTGCAGTATCCTTCCCCTGCCATGCCCACCAAGCCACGCCCACCAAGCCATGCCACACCCAACAAGCCACACCCACAGAACCGGTAGTAAAAATTTTTGAAACCCAGCACTGATTCAAATCCTTCAAAAACATGACTTGGTTGCTTATTTATTGTTTCTTATATCAGGGAATTCATTCATTCATTCATTCATTCATTCATTCATTCATTCATTCATTCAGAAAATATATATGGCTGTCCAACTCACTCTTGGTGACTCTAGGTGGCTTACAAACATAAAATCCCAGTATAAATCCTTATGGCTTCCAACAACCCTTGCCACAACAATCAGACCAGCCACTTGATGGGCTCCATATCGTTCTAGGGTCCCTAAGCCTGTAGGCAGAACCATGTCTTCATGGCATTAAAAAAGAGTGTCAGAGTATAGGTCAAACGTATTTCTGCAGGGATGACATTCCACAGGGAGAGAGTCACTACAGAGAAGGCCCTCCTTCTTGGTCCCACTAGATGGACTTCCTTAGGAGGGGGGATCTTCCTAAGGGAAGGTTTAGGGTTAGGGTTAGCAGCGAAAGTACTGAGTCCTCCTTAAAGTTTAAAGGTTTCCCCTGTCCAGTTGGGACTAACTTGAAGGGCTGGTGCTCATCTCTGATTCTCAACCAAGGGAGCCTGTATTGCCTGAGAGATGTATCCATCATCAGGTGGCCAGTATGAAAATACAGAATGCCTTCCTGCCAAAGTAGTACCTATTTATCTACTTGCATTTGCATGCTTTTGAATTGCTAGGTTGACAGGAGCTGGGGCACCATTGTGTGGTTCTCGGGTCTTGAACTCGCACTGTCGAGCTTCAAGCTGACAAGATCAGTATTTTAACTGCTGAGCCACTGCCACCACCACCACCACCACCACCACCACCCGCAAGCCTGCAGAACTCTGTGGATGAGGGCCAGACCTCTCATTTCCTATCAATACTGACTGGGATCAACCACAGAGGAAGGAAGTGAACCAGAGCAACATAGTACCCACCAATCCTGACCCCCCCAAAGCTCTCCAGAAGGATACTATGTTGAGGATACTGAAGGCTGTGGAGAGCTCAAATACAGCAAAGATGCATGCACCACCCCATCCTGTTCTTGCCAAAGGTCATCAAAAAGCACAACCAATGCCATTATAAGGAAGGTTTTTATTTGACCAATTCATGTAAGAAAAGGAACAAATGAACCTTTCTGGTGAACCGATTCCTAACACCTATTTTAAATAATCTGCTATGTATCATAGTCACTGAGCCACGTCTCTACAGTATCTCGTATCTGCAAGCAGACATTTCTCATTGTATTTTTTCTGTGAATTAGTTGGTGGTAGCAGCAGCACAGAGCCTATATAGAAGTTCTCCCAGATTTAGAATAACCTGCATTACGATGACAGGTCATAAATCAAATGGAGCAAAAACACAGTGAGCCAAGCATTCCAAATAGTTATACCAGAATTGGTTATAGTATAACTGACTATATTTAAACTTGAAATTTAGATTTTAATAGGGAAGAATACATATTTAATTCTTTTTTATTTGTAATAAATAAAATTACAGCTAAAAATGTTTGCACTTAGCAGTGTTACAAAATACAGTATATTATAAGATGATCGCTTAAACGTATCAATATCTCAGAAATTGATGGCATAAATGCTTACTTAATGGAAGTGTTTATTTAAAAAGCTACCCAGAGAGATAGTTTTTCCAGGTTCACTTATGAGCAATTACCATTTGATAATTTTATTTTACTGAGACCTGAAAAAGTATCTACTAGGAATCTTGGAAAGCTGTTATCAGTCAAGATCCATAGAATTTTAATCTGATCTTAGTAAGTACAGGATGGTTCTGCCATAAACATGGAAGAAGCATGATAGACACTCTTCACTTTTCCTCACTAGCAGCTGATATGCAAGATAGGCTTCCCTTAATTCTGGACTTAGCAAACAGCCTTCCTAAGACTTACAGTATACCCATTTCCACCAATTTATCCATCTCTTTTAAAATAACCTACTGTATACGGCCATCACTATGTGTGATAGTGAAGCTCTAAAATATATTGGTGTGGCCTTTCATAGACAGTATCTATTGGGCAATGTTGTGCTTCAGTCACCAGTTTCCTGACATTTTACAGGCAACTGTGGTTGGCATCTTCAGAGGCAAGGTGGTTTGTTTGGTGCATAATTCCATAGAGCTTTGGGATTATGCATCACACAGCCTCTGAAGATGCCAGCCACAGTTGCCTGTTGAAATATCAGGAGACTGATCTCTGTGACGCATAACCCCAAAGCTCTATGCACAGTTAAAGATTTCATTGGCCTTGAATATCCACATACTTAATTTTAATAGCATATTCATTTTCCTTGACACAGGAATACACATTTATTCCATAGTGAAACCCTGGTTCTTGGAGACAGGCAAGGCAAGCAGAGTGTGTAAAGCACTAGAGCATGTTTTTCTTACTTTGCAGCCTCCTATGACAGCCAGATGTCTCTTCAGTTGAGCTCACTGGATATTGTGCTTCCTTTATGAAAAATTGCTCTAATTATTTTTGTATAAGTGACTTATAACATATCCACAGCACACATTATTTTACATTTTGCCTATTTACCCCTCTTCAAAAGAGCATCAACCAACAGCGTAGGTTTTATATTACATGTTGATTGCTAATTCAGTAGTAATCCATTCTTCTCTGTTAATGTCAGCATGACCAAGAAAAAGGTATAATTTCAGTTTCATTTGTGCTCCGAGTGGGAAATTAATATTTTTATTAGGCAAGGAAGGAAATGTATTAAATATTATGTTGATAATTTATTATATTCCTGAAGAAAATTCTGCAGCCCATATAAATTACTTAATTGGTTGCCTGTGCGGATCAAAGTTATTTAGTAAACGTTTCTCCCCCCTATTCACAATATACTTCTCTTTTTTGCTTGTTCTTTCCTAATTAAAAACAAGTCTTCAAATAAAATGTCTACTTATATTTATGAAAGTGAGAAAAAGATGCAGTCGCAACAATTTTAATGAGGTTACTAGAAGAACCTAGGGAAACATTATGGGAAAATGTTACTGAATTTTTATTTGTATTTGCATTTAAACATTATCTATTGATTAGTAGGCAGATTGGAATTAATTTTCATTATTTTAAATCCTTTGGTTCAATTTATGGTTCAAAAATGTATCAGTGTTTATAAGGTATGGTGTTTATAAGATATCTACTCTATGACAAAATTTTGCTTGAAATACATATTTTGATAGAAAATATGCTTAGAATTGTGAAAAATATTTCGAAGTATTATAAACTTTAAAAGTATTTTAAATTTTTAAAATGTGCCTAATTCTGTGTCTAAACTGCAAAAATGATAAATTAAGAAAGAACATACTCGAAACTGTTTTTGACTTGAAACTGAGTAATTTGTGCATCTCTACATTGGAAGATGCTAGCTGTGATTGCTTATAAGTGTATACGAGTATTTTGCATTTAATTTATCAATATAATAAAATAAAAGTGTTTGGTTTTATCTTATCTTAGTATTTGAGAACAAAGATAAAATAGTGATCATCATGGAATATGCAAGTAAAGGGGAATTGTATGATTACATCAGTGAGAGGCGAAGGCTAAATGAAAGAGAGACAAGACACTTCTTCCGGCAAATTGTTTCAGCAGTTCATTATTGTCATAAGGTGAGTAAAAAAATATTTGGAGGTATGTGGTGATAATCTTTGCATTATGTGCACTTTCTTTCATACCCGATTTCAGACTATAAGATTAAATTATATCAGAGCAACTAAAACTAGGTTTCAATTTAGTGTAGGCCTCTCTCTCAAACAAGTTGGCTTCTAGACAAATAGCAACTCCATCTTTTTAAAAATTCAGTTTCAGTCTGTTTTGTTCCATTCCACTGTTTCCACTGCTTTTCCTGTCCAGTAAAATGATATGACTGCATTACTTAGAGATGGAGCTGCCAGTTGTGATCATTAAGTAAGGACTACCTGTACCTTCACCCAGTAGTTTCATGTAGTTCTGCTGACTGCCAGCTGCTAGCAGTTTGGCAGTTTGAGTCTCACCAACTCAAGTTTGACTCAGCCTTCCATTCTTCCAAGTTTGGTAACATGAAGACCCAGATTGTTGGGGGGAATATGCTGACTGTGTAAACTGCTTAGAGAGGTCTGTAAAGCAGTGTGAAGCGGTATATACCATAAGTGTAAGTGCTATTGCCAAGAGCTTGATTGCTCCCTCACTCATTATCAATGACTGAAAATGTCCACTATGTTGCTCCCAACCCCTGCACAATGGTGCCCTCTTCCAAATGATAGTCCAAAAGAATTCCATGGTCAATAGTATCAAACCCAACTGAGAAATTCAGTAGGCCTGTACTCTTTTACTTAAGTCTTAATCAAGATCATCCATAAGAGTGACCAGTTCCATTTCAATCTCATACCTAGATCTGAAGTGTTGAGTTTCAGGATTATTTCTAGCTTCTGTACAAGAAGGGAAAGTTGGAAACTGTGCAGGATTTATCCAACATGATGAGATGAAGAAGTGGCCTCTTCAGGAAGGGGTGTACCACAATCTTCAAGACAGGAAGCACAGCCTCTCTCAAATTCAAATGCATTCACCCTACAGTATCTAGCTTTCTGAAGAGCCTAGTGTAGCATGAGGTCCACCCAGAGAGTTCATGCTGCCAAAAACCCTGCCCACCCCTTCAGAGTTCACAAGATCAGAAGAATCCCTGCAAGTTGTTCTTGCATAATAATGACACAGTAAGAGAACGCTCCAGGCGGATTATATTGTTGCAAAGTGGTTCCAACAGGATTAATTTACACTGTAGGGAACATAGCATGGAATATATAAAGCATTTTGAAGAGGAAGGCAGACAGTTTTCCACTTAAAACACAGGTTGTAGTTTTTACTTTTTATAATTTTAACGTTAATGAATTTTAAGAAGTTATTAGATTTCAGACTCATATTTAAGCAGCCTTTGAAGGGTACAGTATAAGTCATCATGCCTAAAAAGGCGAGCTGATAGATTTACCAGGCCTTTTGCAAGTACTGTACTAACATACCTTGGTAGGGATTGTTTTCTAAAGCCTGGGAAGACTATATTACTTTTACATTGTGAAGGGCAGATTGGGGTTGGGATTAAGTTCCGAAAAGAGTTCCCCTGCTGTTTTACAGGCTTTGTGGGTGGACAAATTCCAATCATTCTTCTCCTAACCACACAGCAAGTGACTAATGCATCTCCTATCACTAGTTACTAGTATTATGACTGAAGTGTAAATGCAAAGACCACCCTGATGCTTTGCTTCTTTAATTTGGCCAATATTACACTGCCCCCCCACATCTCTAGAATCTCCTTTATATTCATCTGCATGTTTTTTTTTTAAATGTCTTCTTTCAGAATGGTGTCGTTCACAGGGATTTAAAACTGGAAAATATTCTTCTTGATGACAATTGTAACATCAAGGTAAACATCCTTCATAATCTATCTATCTATCTATTTATCTATCTATCTATCTCGCCTTAAACATTTTTATCAAAGTTGCTACTTTGCAGCATCTGTTTACAGAATATAGGGACCATCTTTGTGATGATTTAAAAATGAATTAAGACTTTTATTTAGTTTAAAACTAAAGTAGCAGTTTTCCTCCCTTTTAAAAAAAGCAATAACAGCAATCAACACAAGGATCAGTAGATCCCTTTCACAGGGATCTGCATACATCAGATAATGTATTTTACAGATGACTTTTTTGCTGGCTGTCGGGACTATGCACCGTTTTTTGGCTTACAAGTTTCAAGTGCTTATTTCGCCCTCTGAACATTCCTTTGATAGCATCTGAAAAATAAGCAAATCCACTTTCAAAATAAACTCAAGCAGAGCACATGTCCTTCATTAGGAAGTGGCCTTAGAACTCCAGGCACAATGATAGCTTTCACATTAGTTTTTGGTGATGTCATAACTATGTCAAAAATCTCTAGTAAAAGCATGGGAATGACCTTTTCATTCTTCTTGGAAAAAAGGAATGGCTAAAATACAAGCTACGTGATGCTTTGATGGGAAACTATTCCTGCTTCCAAAATTCACATTCCATTATTTAAAATTCTAAGTATGCTTAATTGTATAATATTATAATTATATAATAAATATTTTTCTTATATTGAATCAGGTTTCTTAATACTATAGCATGACAGCACATGATGTTGTAACCAGGGTGGTGTAAAACAGATCTGAATCGGGTCAATAACTACAATTGGCATGCCATCTGAGAACCCCATTAGTGCTACTTGAAATATAAACACATCCCTTATTTCTCAAATATATGTAATATGTAATACTTAATGGGTTGCCACCATTGCCAAGACTGCAAGTAGAAGTCAATGTCCAGCGACCTTGCGGGTGCCCAAAACAGAGATGGCAAAACACCATCAACAAAGATATGCAAGCTGCAGCCCTGCGCCCTTGAGACGCAGCTGACCATGCAAAGTGGTGCTCAATGATGTGAAAAGTGGACCCTGCACTTGCAGGAATATGCTAGGAAGGAGGAGGAGGAGGAGGAAAAAAAATACTTAATGGATGGTATTGGTCCATATCTAAGAGACATCCTTAGTAATAATTCTTTCTCACATGATTCATGAAAGTAATATTACATATATCACACATTTATTGTATTTCGTTGCAAAGTTGCTATTTGGGTTGTCAGGTTTGGTTGCATATATTCCATAGGGATTGATCAGTTTATCCAATATAAAGTGTGTAGGAGAAGAATAGAAGATGCATCTGGTAAAGTGAGCTGTTGTTCATAAAAGCTTATACCTTTTAATGAAATGTGATAATTTGAAAAGATGCTTCCAGACTTCATGTGATCTAATATAAAGTGTATATGGATATTGATTGTATATATTACATTGAACTAGAAGTAATTGTAAGGTTCTTCCCATGAAAGTCCCTTGAGGTTCTGAATAATATTAGTGTTGCCCAGGCAGTTATTTAGTGGAAGTAACATTGGAATCTACTTCAGGACACGGGTGAGGGGGAGAGCGTGTGTGTGTGTGTGTGTGTGTGTGTGTGTGTGTGTGTGTGTGTGTAATATAAAATGTTCCTGGTGTCATCATCTAAATGTAGCAACCTATGTGGTTGCATCAGAATTTGGGGCCCAAGGACAAAATAGTGGCTTTACATGGTCATATTACTATACATATCACCATTTTGGCTTTCTTGTAGGTTGATGTTGAGGGTGCCTAGTATTTGATTCTTGTATTTGTGTTAGTATGAACAAAGAATTGCATAATGAAACAATATATTCTACAAATTAAATTCTTCATGAAACAATTGAACTAGAATTCATTAAAAGTTCTATCTTTTCTATGAGTTAAACAAAGTCTAGTGTTTCTTATCTTCAATACATGAATGCCTCTGTCACAGCTAACCACTGCTTCAAGGTCATTGTAATTCTTGCAGTCTCATCTCTCCTTTTATATTTCTACCTATCTTTTCCTGTTTCTCTCCTCCCCCCCCATACTATACAGTATGTATGTGTGTATGTGTATGTGTATGTATACGTACACGTACATACGTACATACATACACACACACACACATTTTTTCAGTAATATACTTCATGAATCCCACAGTATGGACTGGGATCCTATAAAAATGTACATTATATGCATTTAGATGGTTTTAAGCAGTGTGGGTTGGTCCCGGTTCGGCCCGGTTCGGGCGACCCGGTAGTGGTAATGATGTGACACCACTGAACCGATTCTCTTTGACTGGGAGCTGGGCCCTCCCACTCGCCCCCGCGTTATTCCTACCTTTATTACTCGTTTTTTAGCCCAGCTGATAGGCGCGGCAGAGTGGATTGCCGCACCTCAGCTGGGCAGAAACCTAATGTGCTTAGGTTCGGCGTGCGTGCAAGTGAAGCGAGCATGCGTGCGGCGATCGTGCGCAAAGCGCGTGTGTGAAGAGAACCGGTGGTAACACTGGTTGGAACCCACCACTGGTTTTAAGATACTTTGGAGTGTATTTTTTCCATAGAAGACTATAAGCTAGAAGGCTACCCTTTGTGGGGAAAAAGCATACAACCCTTATTAAAGTCTAATTTTAACATAATATAAGCAAGTGCTTTTTATATCATGGATATATAACTGATAATACTATATTATAATAAAACTGGCAGCCTTTGACAGTGTGCTCTGAGAGATAGACCAGTGTTTGGTTTTTGCACTATTGCCTAGATTTTTTCCCCTTGATGTTTGGAATGAGGTTTGTATTTTTTTTATATAAACCATAATTCCCCAGAATAATTTGGCCAAAACCAGAACCCTTCTGGCAACAATCATTCTACCTAATCATGGAAATTGAATTCAGTCCTCTTCCAAGATACCCTTTGTGGGATCTCACCATATCTGTTACTTCCTTGTAAGAAATGTAGGATGGGAACTGTCCTCCTTCTACTTCTGTCTCTTTTTCCATTGTAAAAGACGTAAGTACATTTGATGGGTTTTGGCCAACACGCATTGAATTCCCCTCCCTGTTTTTTCTCTGTCTCTCTCTCCCAGTCTGAAACAGGACAAATTTGTTATGTCTGCTAGACAAGGAGTCACCTTCGGTTATGTGGCATCTCTTACAGCCTCTTCCCTTTCTCCCTCCCATTATGTATTTTTCCTAATGTGAAATTCAAGAGGAAAAAAAATGAAACTTTGCTTAGTTTCTTCCCAATGGCCCAGTATCTGAACTATGTATGAAAAATAACTAGTGAACCATAGTCTTACCCAGTGACTTACATGGTTAAGCCAGATTTACTTAACAATTGCAGTGATTCTCTTAACAACAATGTGGCAAAAAGGTCATAAAATTGGGCACAACCTACTTAACAACTGCCTTGCTTAGCAACAGAAATTCTGGTCCCAATTGTGATTGTAAATTGAGGACTATATATAAAGCCAAAAGTTGTTTTGTTACTCTTTGTACTCTTTTGGTTGCAAAATCCCTTTCAGGCCAATGCCCCTTTAATTTTGGATTCAATTTTGCTAGTATTCCATTTATATAGTGGAACAATGCAACCATTTGTCCAATAGGACAATGCAGTCCTGTTTTGAAATTTCTGTATATATACAGTACACATCTAAACCTACAGTTTTATATTTCTCAATTTTCACAGTGCTTAGGACTTCCTTTTTCTAAGTTGTTTTCTTAATAGCATTTGTTTAAAGTTTACTTGATGAGCAATTTACTCACCGAGTGTAAAGCTTAAAGCAAGTGCTCTCTCCAGTATTACAATTTAGGTCAAGCTGAAATTGTTCCCTTAAAAATGTTCATTTACACTACAAATACAATGATATTTACTCACTGAGTGTGAAACTTATGGTCCGTCCAATTTTGAGTTAATTCAGATTACCCTAAACTCAAATATTGAAGAAGGTATAAGCATCATATTCAGTGAGTAAATTTCATTACATTTAATATAAGTAGTGGAAACAATCATTTCCTTGAGGGTAAGGGAATACAGCATCTGGTTTTTTAGCAACCCCTCCCTGTTTGGGAAACATTTGAATTCTTTGGCTCTGTTAAAGTGAGAAGAACTTGAAGGAATCTTGGCTACCATGATTTTGTTCTCCAGAGAGGGGGAGGGGAAATGACAGTTTTAACTAGAAAATCTGATAAACTTGTGAATATAGGAGTTGGCTGAAATAGAAACACTTTTTCCTGAAGGTCAAAAATGAAAATGCTTTGGAGCCAGTTTGAGATTTAAACTTTACACACCCATTTGCATGTCGGTACCCATGTATTTTGTAGATTGTAGGACAATAAGAGCATAGATTGTCTTAATAAACTGTACAATGAATGTCAGAAAAATCTGCTCTACAGTCTTAAGTAAAGGAAATCTACTGATTCATGGAGTTGTGATTATGAGCTCAAGATAAATTTCCAGCATACTTCTCAGAGTGATTTGATAAGAACTTAAGGAAATTAACTGCAAACTGAACTTTGAAAATTTGCAGACTGAAGTTCTACACCAGCTGCTTCTAATGGGATTTGAGACATACAATGAAGGCTTTACACAGGGACCTTTTTTCCTAGGATTTCTTTGTACATGCAATTCCAAAACTGTGGAACATTAATTGAGATATTGATCTTGAAATGATAATTCACTAATATAGCTACTGTCTTGTCTTGGAATGTCCTTGTAATGAAATATCAAAAAGGACAGCCTGGAAAATGTCCTACAGCCTACCTATGCAGTTTTCTTACTTCAGAGTAGGACTTTCCACCACATCCAATCATTAGCTTAGTATACTCTCCATTATACTATTCAAGAAGTAGATACTGAATAATTATCTCCTGCTAGGAATGCATGTTAAATTCACAGAACACTTTAAGGCCACTTGGACAAATGACCCTGTCAATTTTTATGCTGTAGAGAAGGCAACATTCCTATCTAGTTTGATAAATTAGAGGGGAGGATTGTAGAAACCTTGCCAGTATGAGGTAAAAAGTGTTCTTATTTCATTAGCCTGCAAGATACAGGTGTTCTGAAATTGAAAGAATCCTCTTCCCCTAGTTTTATTTCCCCCCCCTCTATAGCAGGGGTGTCAAACTCAATTTCATTGAGGGTCGCATCAGGACCTTGGGGGGCCAAGTGGGTGTGGCAGACTGGGTGGGCGTGACCAGCTTGACGCCACTCCCCAAACTGCTGGCATGTTTCCTCTTCGCATTGGGTAGACCAGGAACAAGTGATGCGGCCCGGCCCCTTACAATTTCCAGGATTGCCCTGTGGACCACATTGTGGGCCAGATCTTGTCCGTGGGCCTTGAGCTTGACACCCCTTCTCCATAGGGACACAGATTGTTGTAACTAAACACTAACTTTTGCTCTGTACTCAAAATCTCAAATCTCAAAGGGGGTGAGCAACAATCCTTCCTCTTCCTCTTATTTGCTATTGAATAGAGTTTCTCCCAAACAAGCTGGAGTTTATTTATTCTGAAATAGTATAGGGTCTCCTGCTCAAGCCGGGGGATGGAGTAGAAGACCTCTAAGGTCCCTTCCAACTCTATGTTCTTATTCATTAGATTTTTATCCTACCTTTTCATTCATTTTCATCCCCTCTTGTCATTCATCCAAAATATATTTTGTTATAATTTTAGGAATCTTCTCATTCTTTTTCATTTCTAAGCACATATTTGGATCAACTAGACTTCCAAATTGCCTCATTCCAAGAAAGACCCCAAATATTAGAAATTCATTTTCATTCTAAGTTTTTATTTTCCAATTTTTCAGAATACTGTTCAAGAATATTTTGCAGCCTCTAACTACTATTCTTATTCAATTAGCAGTACAATGTGTATGCAAGCATAATTTTTTTGCATAAAAATAGTTTTAGCATAACAAATATGTGCTGTATGGTTCAGAGGTGGGTTCTACTTACCTTTACTACTGGTTCACAACGGGGCTGCGTGCACACTTCTGCGCATGTGCAGATTGTCATTTATAATGTCTGGGCAGGTGGGCGGAGCCTCCTGCTGATTTTACTACCGGTTCTATAGAACTGGACAGAACCGGGAGCAACCCACCACTGTATGGTTCCAATGTTTATTTTATTCACAATATACATGTACATTTGAGTTGTCCATAAAAGACATATAAAACATGATGTATCTTGGCTTCGATGTTTTATTAACACAATAACACATGCTTTATATAACTGAAATATAATATAATATATAATGTATAATAATAATAAAACCAGAATTAAAAGAAACATAATAGCTGTTATAAACTCTTCATGCTACTATTCTGGAACTAAGAAAGGAACAGAATGGAAAAAAACTCTTATTAATGTTACATATTATTCATCAGCCAACTGCTTCTAAATTTGTCTTTATAGATTGCAGACTTTGGTCTTTCAAATCTTTATCACAAGGATAAATTTCTCCAGACTTTCTGTGGAAGTCCACTATATGCATCTCCTGAAATTGTTAATGGAAGACCTTATCGGGGACCAGAGGTAAACAGAATTCAGAAGAAAGAAATGTTTAAAAAAAACAGAATGAAAAATATAAAATCATTTATTGATGAATTCATTTTATATAGCTGATTTGTGTAAATATTCTGTGTGTCTGGAATTTGGTGAAATGTTTTTTTTTAATACAAAAAGGAATAATCTTTTGCATACAAGATGTTTTAAAGTCTTGTTTTCATTGTTCATTGATGGATTTTCTACAGAATACTTATGTGTTTTTTTAATAATGGTAGATGGATGTTTTGTTTTTTTTAGTAATTTCAGCATCTTCAGGAGTCACCCTATTTTACTCCTTACATTTCTTATCTTTCTGCTTTAGGTTGACAGCTGGGCTCTTGGTGTTTTACTTTATACTCTGGTTTACGGAACAATGCCCTTTGATGGCTTTGATCACAAAAATCTGATCAGGCAGATCAGTAGTGGAGAATATCGTGAGCCAACACAGCCCTCAGGTATCAAAAGATGTGTCATAGTGCATTGACATAATAGGGATTTCTAATAGCTTGTTTTACATCCTTTCTGATGTTTGGTATGTGGAAGTGTTGGATGGATAAAACAGAAATATTGCAATAAAAACTAAGGATTCTCAGTTTGCATCAAAGGCTATCTGGCTGCTTTTGATTTTCAAAAGGGTATTGTGAGAAGTTTGAGGAAGATAGCTGTCCAAAGCAACAAGTATTTCTGATGTACGATAGCTGGAAATGCTTTTGATTTTCAAAAGGGTATTGTGAGAAGTTTGAGGAAGATAGCTGTCCAAAGCAACAAGTATTTCTGATGTACGATAGCTGGAAAGTATTATCAGCTGCCCTAAAGGGGCAAGGAGAAGCCATAAATTATTTCTCAAGTCTATACTTGAAAATATATGTATATGTCCACAGTCTTTCTCAGCAGAAAGAGACAAGCACTTTGGAATAGTATAAGGAAAATGGTGGATTCCAGAGAGCTACAAGTACCATTAGTTAGGCAGAGCTGCAAGCTATAGATGTAGAATTGTTCTTCAAGGAATTAAAGTACCAAAACCATGACGATACATAACCCACCTTTTCCCCAGTCACTGGGTCAGGAGGATTTGGTTCTCAACCTGTTTGTTAGATAGAATTTTTGTTGTTAATTTTACTATATTTTATATGGAATTATTTTTGTTTTCTTGTTTTATTTCTACACTGTCCTGAATCATTTTGAAAAGGTGACTACAGAAATAAAGACACATATATTCAATTGCAATCCAGTTGAATATTTGCCACAATTTTAAAATTCTCTTTGATGTTTAATTTTCCCTCATTATGTGGGTACCATAAGGACTTCATGTTTTGTGATTCATTTTCAGTCAGTTTTCACCTCTTAGATTACAAATGGAAGCCCCTATAAAGCAGCCAGGATTTTACCAGGAAGTTCTATTGAAAATTGTTCATCAACAAACAATTGCCTGTTCTATGACTCATTTTAATTTCTTTCTCACAGATTTGGGGTACCTAGGTTCTAATAATGTCCATGATTATCCTGCTGCCTTGACTTGAAACTAAATTTCTAATCTTATATTTAATAATTACTGGCCAATCATTATTCAGTCCCTTATTTCTGTAATGCAGAACTCCTATAATAGACAGTTTGAAGACAAAGTGAACTGTATTACAGCTTCCCTCTTAAAATGTTGGCTGCCAGGTAATTATTGCCATGTTGACAGGCTGAAATGTTGCTGCTGATCATAATGTCTAATGTCCTAAACATTGACCAAGAGATATCTGTTTTTTCCCCTCATGTACCATAGCAAATATGAGTGACAGGGACTTTTCAAATGTGCTATAGTTAGCTAGGTGATAGTCAAAGGTCTCTTAGTCTATACAAGCCTTGTACAACATTTTGTACAAGCTACAAAATGTTGCTTGATAGAGTTTCATTTCAGCCATTAGAATTGTGTGTGTGTGTGTGTGTGTGTGTGTGTGTGTGTGTGTGTGTGTGAATAGAAGAAATATAACAGATTTTGGAGAGCAAATCATTGGCTTAAGAATTTAATTCTATCTTGACCATCAACAAATATTTCACAGTTTATTAAATATACAGAAGGAAGAATTGCTGACAGCAATTTAAAAAAACTAGGCTGAAAAATTAAATGACCAAATATTTTAACTTTGTTATTATGGAGATGGTAAATCTGATGGTAGAAGATAGAAGAATTGGACTAGTTGTGTTCCAAGTTACGGTATATGCATTTAACTATTAGAAAAAATATACACACACCAATGTACATTTCTTATATGCAGTCAGTCTCCAAGTAGACTATATTCGACAAATATATATGTTTTGATTTTTATACATTCTATTACAAACTCTTAATTTTACTGAAAGATAAATATTACCATTTTTTTCGGTGTATAAGAAGCACCTTTTTCCCCCCTAAAAGGGGGTGAAAAATTGGGTGCGTCTTATACACTGAATGTAGCCCCACCCACCCACTGGCCCCCACCCTTTGGCCTCTGCTTCCCAGCAGTTTATCTCCTTGCAGCAAGCAGCAAGAAGAAACAGCTCCTTTCTGCTTCAGCACAGCCTAATTAGCACAAGTTGATTGGATCGGCCTCCCGACTCTCAGCTGTTTTGCTCTCAGCTGTTTTGCGCAGGCCTCTGCTGCTTGCTGCAAGGAAGTAAATTGCTGGGAGCAGATTTTTTTTTTTCTTGTGCTAAGCAAGCTATGCTGAAAATGAAAATGAAAGTAAAGCAGGCTATTTGCTGTTTGCTGCAACGAGGCAAAATTGCTGGGAGGCAGAGGCAGATTTCTTTTTCTTGTTTTCCTCACCAAAAAAGGTAGGTGCGTCCGGTGCGTTTTATACTCCGAAAAATACGGTAGCCTCCAGAGTGCAAATCAGGTTGTTTTCCTTTAAAAAGCAGTCTAAATTCAAGATTTGTATAGTTGTTCAGGAAAGTCTTATAACACTTAAAACTACTGATAGATATTTACATAATAAATATTCCTATAGATATATATCGAGAAATGGATTGTCATTTGCCTTTATCCCTACAATCTACATGCAAAGATTGATAGATTTTCTGAATCTATGTTTCTTCATATGTGCTTCCCTTTACTATATTCATTCAGCAACCTTGGGGAAAAAACAGACCAGTATGATTAAGTATTATACCATTGCCATGATATGGAAAAGTAATTTAGTGTCAGTTTGTACCAGTAATCTACCCCTAGGAAATCTACCTACCTACTTAATCCCTTTCTTCCAGGCCAAAATATTGTCCTGCATAATTTTGGTGTCATTTGCAACTATTCCATTATATGTTAGATTCTGTATTAATGTAAAATCTTAAGCTCAAACGTCTTTAATGTATATTATTTGTTAATAGATGCTCGTGGCCTGATCAGATGGATGCTGATGGTAAATCCTGAGCGCAGAGCAACCATTGAAGACATTGCCAACCACTGGTGGGTTAACTGGGGCTATAAGAGTACTGTTTGTGATTGTGATGCCTTGCAAGACTCTGAGTCCCCTCTGCTGTCTAGATTCATAGACTGGCATCATCGTTCCAGTGGCCTCCAGCCAGAGACTGAGACCAAAATGAAGTGCCTTTCTAAACCAAAAGGATCCGAAGTCCATTTAGAGAGACAGAGATCCCTCAAAAAATCAAAGAAGGAAAATGACATTGCACAGTCGATCCAAGAAGGAGTTGATAACTCCTGCAAATTAAACTCCAAGAGGCCAAAAGGTATTTTGAAGAAGAGGAGCAACAGTGAACATCGGTCTCACAGTGCAGGATTCATAGAAGGAGTAGTCAATCCAGTATTGCCCTCCACTTTTAAAAAAGAACAAGAATTATGTAGAATAGGTATACCAATTAAGAGTGTTTTGGAAGGGGATATAACGGGTAAATACAGCACTAAGCAGTCTTCTTTAATGCCAAAAAAGGGAATCCTCAAGAAGACTCAGCAAAGAGAATCTGGATACTACTCATCTCCAGAAAGGAGTGAATCTTCAGAACTCCTGAATCATAATGAGGAGGTAGGAAACAGTGACACATCCCCAAATATCATCGAAACGTTAAGAATAGAGTCTTACAGTCATTCCTACAGACGGAAGGGTATTTTAAAGCACAGTAGCAAGTATTCCACCACTACTGCACATTCAGCTTTGATCCACTCTGACAGACCAGTCACGAAAGGCATGGAGGAAGCAAGTTTGGCTGTAGATGGATTATCTCGAAGTTACAGTCGCCCTTCTAGTGTGATTAGTGATGACAGCATTCTTTCCAGTGACTCTTTTGACTTGGTGGACCTGCAAGAGAACAAACTTAAAATAAGAAGCTGTGTGTCAGCTGAAAACTTCCTCCAGATCCAAGATTTCCAAGGACTTCAAAAAAACCGCTCACGACCACAGTACCTGAAGCGTTACCGAAATCGGACAAGTGATAGTTTTTCTCTTCTAACAGACATGGATGATGTCACTCAGGTCTACAAGAAGGCTCTGGAGATCTGTAACAAACTTAATTAGCAGATGGGGAAAAAGTAGGACTGGAGAGAAAGGGTCTTGGGTACCTTTATGATGGAGTTGGCCCAATTGTCAATTAGCTGACAGTGACAACATTGTTATAAGGAGAAGCCCTTTGAAAATACCACCTCATGCTTACTATTCAAACTTGGAATTCATGCAGTTAAAATACTACCTAACGTCCAAAGAAATTATGGTAATATATGAAGAAAACTCTCTTGCAGATAGAAAAAAAAAAATCTTCCAGCGCAGTAAATTGAAACTAGATTAAATGTAAACTGGAAAAAGGTACTTTTCATTTTTGTTAGAGAAGGTAACTAACTAGTGGAAAAGCTATAACTTTAAGAGTAAAAAATAATCAACAGTTACATATAATAAATTATTGGCAAATGGATTTATCAATCTTCATACTGATGAATTAAACTTCATCTAAGTTAATGAAGTTTCTTGAATTTCAACCAAAGGAGATCCTAATTCAAAAATACATGCAAAAAGGACTGGGATGCTTGCTAAAAGCTTTGTGGGCATACTTGTCCATCCAATTATTGGAAATGCTGGTTATAATAATTTTCTTTTGAAAAGCATTTAGCAATTTAAGTGGGAAATATTTCATTTTTTTTATAGAACTTCAGTTAGCAAGAAATAGTAAAGTAGAAAAAATGATGAGTTGAGAGACAAAAACCATTTTATTTTCCCATTAGCGGGGACTCTGGAAATCTGTATGCCTGCAATTAAAAATAAATTGTTTGAAGTGCCAAAAACCTTTAATAAGTTTCTTTTCACCACTTGTGCATTTATGTAAGTTATAGGAACCATAAAGTTTTTCTAAAGGATAATTTATGAAACCATAAGTATGTTATGCAACGTGTTCTAATACTGATTTAATGAGCTGCAGAATCTAAGTTTTATTAAAGACTTTGACTTTAGTTTTTGCAGACCTCAGTTTAGGACAGATTTCCAGAGCCCTGTTAATAGGCAGTGGTGTGACGGGCTAGAAGAAACAAAGTTATGAGGATGACTAGAAGGAATACACCCAAAGGTGCTTTTTCAAAAGGCAATTGGACTTTCTTGTTTTTTCTTTGAAGATGTTTTGCTTCTCATCCAAGAAGCTTCTTCAGTTCTGACAGCCCAGTTGTCTTTTGAAAAAGCACCTTTGGGACAACCATGACTTGGATGACTGAGAATCTCCATAGACATTTAGAAGGAGTACAGTTTACGAGTAAGAAAAAGATAATAGGGTAGTAGACTTCATGAGGAATTCAATTTAAGAATATATATGTATTATAGATGATATTGTTAGATCAGTTGAATCAAATTGGAAAAAACAAGACACGATTCATGGATGTAATTCTAAAATTGCAATTAAAGGTTTCAACTCCCATAAAGGTACCGCTTGGGTTTACTGGATTATATGAATGAATGTAAGCCTCTTTTTAAATAGGCACTATGTGGTTGATAGGCCTGGGCAATTGAGACTTCTGACTTACTTTAGATCACGCATATCCCAGTAAGCAGTTCAGAGTTGCAGTACAGTAACATTATTAAGGTAGTTTACACAATCAAAGTGTTGTAACACTTTGTTGAAAAAATAGGCCAAGTCAAATCTAACTAGGCTGAGAGCACTTCTTTCATTTAAACTATGCCAGCTTCATTACAAAGAACATAATTTGCCCCCCTTTAATTAGAGGCTCCAAAATTACAGGAATCTAGTGCCAATTCCAAAAGATTTCAAAGCAGAGATATTAAAATATTAGAATCAGGGGACAGTGGTTGTATAGTTCTCATAATTTTGTTGAAATTATTTTGTGTTAAAACTGTCTAAACATACAAATCAGAGGTAGGAAATCTTTTTGAAAAAGTGGATGCACTTGGAATTTGGGGACTATGATATAGATGCTTTCATGAAACAGCTGGTATGAGAAGGGAGCTTTAATGTTCTTAAAATGAATGCCATATGATCCTGTTCAATTACAAAACAAACTGTAACTGAAAGACTGGTAAGACTCTTTCGAAGCCTTCTCTAGCTTCTCTCCACAGAATGCTGTATACTCCAGCTTAATTTTGCATTATTTCTGGACAGATGTGCACATATCCAAACATTTTTATAGTCTAAGAATGCCTTTGAAGCCTATAGAGATTTGCTTTGTAGGAGATTAGCTTCTCCTTTTAAAAAGTAAAATACTGTCTTAAAAATTAAACAGAAGCAGCAGAGAACATGATGGGCACCATGACAGGTATATGTAGACAGCATGTTGCTACCATTAAGATTAGTGAATTAATTAATTTCCTTTTCCCAAATAACAGAAAGATCACTGTATTCTTCCAAAACATATTGGATCAAATAATCCAAAATGGCACTAAATGCTTATAGTATGCCTATAGTACTGTCCATCTGGATTTGTCAAGAGAAATGCTTCCAAAGGTATTCTAGTAATATAGTAATTGATTGTATCCACCTACCATATCCTTTGTCTTCCAGTTCTTACATATTTCTCAACCTTGTCAAGCAATTCTTTTTTCTATTCCATCATCTACTTGTACCATATGTACATTTTTGCTCACTATTCATTGTCTCAAATGAGCAATCAGATTTTATTTGGGCTTGAACTGATTTACTGGTTGGTCCAGCAAGTAATGATATGTTTAAAAACTCCAAATCTATAGTTCAAAGTAATCTATCTTCTCTTTGTCTCTCAGTATCCATTTTCACAGCTATCCATTGCCACTACAATAACAATTGTTTTAAGCATTCTGAACTTTGTTGACATTGAGGTCTCTTTCACGATTTTATCTAAGTTTGTAGCTGTCTTCCTTCTTAATCAACCTACACTTTAGATTGCATACAGTTCGTCTTTATTTACTGAGTTCAAACAACTAAAACCAACTTCACATTGACAATTTGTCTTCTTAATATTTAACATTAACTTGGAAGTCTCACATTTTATTTTTACCTTCATAATGAGTTCATCCAAATCCAAGCACTAAATATGAATCCCAGAACTATGTTTACTTAATCAGCCTCACTGGATTGACTGGTAAGAACATTTGTTAAGAGATTTCCACCTTAGAAGAGTATATATGTTTCAACACACAGCTAAAAAAAAAAAAAGCATAGTTCAGTAATTTCCATAAATTTTGCTTTAAGATAAAGACCATGTTTTGATTCATGAATAAGCAAACCTTTTTCCTTTGAGAACAAAGGACTGGTCTCAGTTTTCTTAGAGTAGAATAGTGCTAATTGCTACCTGTCTTCAGCAAGCCCAGTTTAACATGCAGTTGATAAATATTGAGACAAAAAGGGAACTCTCAACAGCTCCTGGGAAGAACTAGGAATTGTCCTCACACTTAGCTCTATGTTATAGCCCAGGCCTGTCATCTTGTATACAAATGTGAATGACTGATTAACTCAGTGTTTCTCAACCTTGGCAACTTTAAGATGTGTGAACTTCTACTCTTAGAATTCTGCAAGTTGAAGTCCACACATTTTAAAAGCTGTCAAGTTTGAAAAACACTGGTTTAACTGATTGCTGCCAAACTGGAAAAATATTCTGTAGGGACTTACTGGCATATTATCATTCCTAGAAGAACCAGAACTCTTGACTGCACATTGTTATTAATAGTGCTGTGTAATTTTTTTCCCTTATTTAATTTGCAAAGAATTTTTTTTGTCTTTAAAGTTGACTTTTTTATTTGTTTTCTTTTAATTTATTGGTCTGAAAGCCATTTCAAAGGTATAATAATATATTTTGGTATAATTTAATTGGTTCTGCATTATTTTACAGCTTTGGCCAAAACATTACCTTAAGAAAGTGTTTTGTTTTTCATTTTGCTTATTGGTTGGTTTGATTACTTTGAAGCAGAGGGAAACGCTGGATAATCACCCAAAGTGTTTGTATTTTTAATCTGATCCTGTCTTTTTTATTAAATAAAAATTGATAAAATGTGAACGGTGTCTGTTTCCCATCTTCAATGCATCCTCTATGAGAGATCAGCTTTGCAGTAGTGTTTAATGGTTATTTTAAGGAACATTGTGAAATGTCCGGGAATATGCACTAGAGAGTTGATGACATCTTGACAAACAGTTTGTGCAATGCTCTAAAACTATGTGAGCATCTTTGTCATCTCACACCATTGTTTGGCAGCTCAATCTCTTAAATTTCAGATTAAGATGTAGAACACCTGGAATGACACTGAAGTTGATTTCCTAATAAACATGGAGGTTTGCAGAGCATGTGAGTGGACGGCCTTCCCATTGATGGGAACTCTTGTCTCACCCCATTCTCCAGTTGTTGAGTTTCACCAAGCCTCTCATTCTTCCTGATAAGAGATTCATTTCCTACAAACCTTTAAATGTTTATAAAAGGACACATTTGTTTCCCTCTTGATGTTTTGCACATTCCCCTCTTTCCAATTTGCCAAACTTGTGCAAATTGATACCATAATTTAAGTTTAAAGGGGTTTCTGGTTTCTAATGAAAGTGCAGCTTAAGTTTTTAGAAGAAACTTGTATTTAATTTTACAATTTAGTACATGGACCTTGCTAATATGTGGTAAAAGAGCAGAAATCATACATTATACTAAAAGGAAAAAATAGTGTTATACAAGTTCTAATTCTGGCTACTAGTTGTTATGATGTTCAGTGGACAACAAAGAACCACAAAATTTAATTTTCAGAAACATTGCTTCCTGAGAAAATACCCTCCAAAAAAATCCCCACACCTACCAATCCACATTTTATATATTACATTCTTTTTGACAAGAGTATTATTCCTGAAAACCATTTTGTTTTGTTTCCATACATCCTTATTTGATTTTATTGCCATGTTCTTCTTGATTTTAGCTTTGGCACAAAAACATCAGATATTTTTTGTTAATGTTGGCTATATTTGCCATCTGCCATGCCAGGTGAATGCTACCACATTTCTTTTTTTAACTTTTTTTCTCATTTGAGACAGAATGAATTTGTAACCTCTGAACTTCCTTTGCAGCATCTGACTAGGTTATCCATAATTGCATGTCACTGACCCATAGAAATTGTCAGTTGCCTGATAGAGTGGCTGACTTGTTTAGCTAAATTGTCAATGTTAATGCTGACTTCAGAAATGCAGACCATAATAAAATCAAATTGAATTAAATCAATACAGCCTGATCAGTGAAAGCCTAGCAGATGACTTGCATGTAAATCTCTAGATGTAATATTGGCAGATAATTACAGACATGAAAATTATATTCACAGTATTTTGTGCAGATTTGCTTATAACAAGAACCCTGAGCCTTTATAACTAAATACTTGGGCTTGGGAGGAGTTAAGCTTACTAACATAAAAAAGATTTTCCTTGATTGACTCTAAATTACATCAGAACTGTTGCAATAATCTGAAAAATCACATTTTTCTTTTCTGATGTTAAAATAGAATCTCTTTTTCAGATGAATTATTTTTAAAATTTCAAAATAGAAATAATTTCTTAATTTGAAATGACTAAGAATAACATGAGGTCTGGGGAGAAAAATAGTTACGACTGTACTCAAATGGAAGAAGGAATATTGAGACACATACACAGAATAATTTATCACCTGCATTGTGTGGCTAACGTAATAGTTAGTCCTTGATTTATGACCACAATTGGGAGCAGAATTTCTATTCCAAGGTAGTTAAGTGAGTTGCACCCAATTTTGCAACTTTTTTTTGCCATAGTCATTTAGCAAATCATTGCAGTTGCTAAGTGAATCACATGGTGGTTAAGCAAATCTGGCTTCCCTCATTGACTTTGTCTGTCAGAAGCTGGCTGGGAAGCTTGCAAATGGTAGTCGCATGGCCCCAGGATGCTACAATCATTGTAAATACATGCTGATTGCTTTGATCACATTACCATGGGGATGTTGCGATGGACATAAGTGCCCGGACTGGTTGTAAGTCACTTTTTTCAATGCGACTGAAACTTTGGTCACTCAATGAATAGTTGTAAATTGAGGATGATCTGTACTTAACTAATCCTCATTTTTAAAAAATGAATCTTAGCAACATCACCCCTTGGCACATGTTACTTGTTAAGATTGAATTGCTATCAGAGTATTTTAAAATGAAATTTAAATTCAGTTCAAGCTAATGTTTATTAACAAGTACACAGTTAACAGATTTAACTATCCCCTGGTAACATATATTTCCTCCTATAAGACAGTTTCTGTGTTGTCTTTGTCAGCGGCAATCTTCTCTGAACTCAAAGTAAAGAAACTTTCATTTAAGAAAAAATAATAAAGAGATTCTTGGAAAACGGGAATTAAAGTTAACTTAAAAGCTGTTCATAATGTGGTTAATATTTCTAAGGTTAGACAGCTGTGATGTCAGGAATGTAGGTCTGGCTGTCCTTCTCAATGTGGTAACTTTCAGATGCATTGAGAATATGAAGCTATATATCTATCCACAGTAGTCAGCTCAGTCTAATAGATAATTCTTCAGAGTATTTGAGAGGTTTGTCACATATAATATATTTTACATAAAAGTCTGAAGAATTCAATTTAATGAGACCACTGATATTCCAGAAATACAGTTCCTGTGAATTTATGAGTGCATCCATAAAAGCGAAATTACTTCATGGGTAAGAATAACTTCTGCTTTCAGTGCATTGAAAAATGCTTAAAGGAAAGAACACGGAGTGCTTCATTTTTTGTGTGTGCAAGGAAGAGAATGAAATGACCTGTTTTCTTTCGCTGTAATTATTAAATTGCTTTGACTGTAAGTTAACATCTTTGTAAGTAACACACTTCAAGACTTAGTGTTCATTCATGGTAACTTGAACTATCATTTGACTCAATTTTTGTCAGTCAACTAAATGAAAACTGCTAGATACATTTCAGTCATTTCCACAAACCTTAAGGAATTAGAACATTTTGAGAACTGAACTATCCTTTCTAAAATTGCAACAACAATTAAAAAAAAAATCGAAAAGGCCATAGTGATTTTTTCAATTAGGTCATCTGTTGCAAAGGTCATGAAAAGCCTTGACCTTTCACCATAGAAATATCTCCAGCTGCATAGACATGCATATGAGATAGAAAGCTTTTTGTTCAGACCCAGCAGAGCAGAGACAAACTATTGTTTAAAGGTCACCTCCATTTGCTTTGGTTGTTGAAGAGGGACAAATTGCAAAAAATAACACATTTTAAAGAAGTTATTGCAGATCTGGCCTGCAAAGATTGCAGAATGTTTATTTCCTAAGAAAAGTGCTTCTGGGCTCAGATGGTAGCATGGTCATCTATGCATTCCTCAAGTATTTATATCGGGAGCTTGCTATAATAGAAACAGGAGTAGTTAAGTTAATATCCCAGTTAAATACCATGATTAAAATATGTATCCTTTGTCTGAGAAGGCAGGGCTCCAAACCTCCACTTCCTCTAGATTAGTGTTTCAAAAATCTCACCTATTCTGTTAGCCATACCAGCTGCTCCCTTCTGCAGTTCATATTTTCTGTCAGCACTGGTTGGTGAATTTTAAAGACTGTTTCTGTTCAATCATTTTTGTCTGGCCCATCAGTTCTAATGTGAAAACTGGCTGCTGCTGGGTTTCTGTGGCCGCCTTTGCTTTTCTCCTATTCCCTATTCCTATCTCCACCTCCCAATCCTCCCAGAAACACACGAACCAACATACCCTTGAGAAGGAAAGACATAGAGGTTGCTATATACTGACATAACAGAGGTAGTTCTTGCTTAGCATCCACTTGTTCAGCAAGCATTCAAAGTTACAACAGTGATGAACGAGGGAGGCTTATGCCATGTCCCCATAGCTGCAACCATTGCAATATCCCACCCACAGTCACATGATCACAATTCAGGAAACCAGTTCGCAGTTAGAACATTGCAATGTCCTGTGGTTTACCTAATTGTGATTTGTGACTTCCTGTCAGCCTACTCATGTACTTTTCTTCTCAGAAGCTGGCAGTGAAGATTGGCTATCACACACAGGCAGGACCCTGCAATCTCATAACCGTGAGCTGCTTGTCAAATATACAAATTGTGGTCATGTGACTATAGGACAACAATCCTGCGGAATTCACCCAAAGGCAACTGGGAGTGGTGGAACTGCTGTTATAAGTTGGTGTAGACATGTGACATTACACCTTACACTGTTGTTAAGCGAGGACTACCTGTATTTGGTACTGGAGTATTACATCTATGAACGCTTTTGAGAAGATCATAGTTGACGCTTTAAACTGCATACTCACATATATAAATACTTGATATTTGAAGAGCATTTAGGAACTTGTCATTTATATTTTATAATAAACAGAGATGCAACTATTTCTCAAGAACAGATATTTAGTCAGTAACTTTGCATGCCTCCTCTAAATAACGCTCCCTTTATAGAAGCCAAAAAACTTCACTCTCCCTCGCACTAATAGTGTTACATAGCCTGATAATAAAATTTATGCAAAAAAGTACCAAGTAACCAAGTCCAAGCTACAAATATTGATTCATTGATTTTTAAAATGTTTTTATTTATACATTTTTCTTTAATATACATAAGTATTCAATAAACAGTGTATTGTCTGGGTCATTTTACATATGTATTTACATACGTATACATATATACACAATCTCTACTTATATATAGTAATATTCTTCCTACTTCTAATTTCTAATTTTATTATCCAACCATTGGTAAAACAAATCCCAAGTTAAAAAATATTCGGTGTCTTTTTTATCCTTTATCTTTAAAGTTAACCTATCCATTTCCACACAATCTAATATTTTTTAAATTATATTTTCATCTGGAGGAGTTTCCTCATTTTTCCAATGTTGTGCAAATACAATTCTTGCTGCCGTCAAAACATGTAATATTAAATCCCTTTATTGTATTTTTCTGGCAAAATACCTAACAAAACTATTTCTGGCTTTAATTCTATATGTTGCTTTGTCATTTTTTCTAACCATATATGCATTTTCATCTTATT